AGAAAAGATCGAGCGAGCACCGCAAAAAAGGGCGCAAGCGCAGCTCGAAGTACTCAGGATAGGTGTGGAGGTCAAATTGGAATGCGTTTGTCTGTGTTGAGCCTCAATGTGTTGTGTTTTGTTATCCTGTGTGACACTTGTATGTCGAATGAGCCAAAATGTTTGTTACGGTGATGTGATGTATAGTATTGTATAATTGTTGTAATGAGAGAACTTTGTATGTTTGTATTGTTTGGAATGTGTGATGAAGTGTTGTAGTCATGTACCTGTGGCTATATTTCATGTGTTGTGGAATTGAACTAGAATGTACGATTGTATTGAGCGATCTATTGCGAATGTGAAGTGTCATGAGCGACGGTTTGTGTTACAGTCTTTCAGAGTGTGTGGTGACTTTTCGCGCTCTTTTGTGTGGTTTTGAATATTATGAGATAATATTCTTAAAGTGGGGGGCAGTGTCACAGAACGAGCGCTAAAAATGGGCGCGCCGCCAAATTCTTGCGATAACGCGCGAAAGAGGCACCGCGAGGTCAAAAGAAAAGAAAAAGAAAGCAAACATCCAAGGCTCCCCAGGCGCGCGCTCTCCCCGCGGAAGCGTGGCTTCGCCGACGAACCTCCTCACCCCACAACGGCGGCCCAGCAAGCACTCGATTTTTCTAGAAGGAAAGGGGCGTGGTCATACCGAGTTGAGTCATCCTCCGCGGAGGGCATTCCAACCGTCTCGCTCTCCCCCCAGCCTTCGCTGCGTATCGCGCCGACGAAATGACGAGAACCTTCTGGAATGTCGTGCGGAAGGTATTTAACCGAGCAGCGGAGACGAGAGATCAGGAGAAGACGGAAGTTGGCGCAAGAGCGCGTAGGGTATCCCACCGTGTAGTCGGCGAAGGTTTTGTCCGTAGGGACAAAGCAGGAGAAGAAGCGGGGTTTCCTGGAAGAGAAACTTCGAAGGAGAAGACGGAAGTTAACGCCGGAGCGCGTAGGGATTCCGCCGTGTAGTCGGCGAAGGTTTTGTCCGTAGCGACAAAGCAGGAGATGAAGAGGATTTCCACCTGAGGGGAGAAGGCTCGAGCTACAGGCAAGAGCGTGTGTTTACCGCAATCGAGCGAAGACGCGTGGCAACAGCTGCGTGTGTGAAGCCGACGTGTTTCCGGCGAAGAAGTTGAAGCTTGAAGAGTGGCCAATTGAAGACGCGAGGTTTCCTGGAAGAGAAACTTCAGGGGGCAGCGGAACGACAACAACGCTGGACTTTGAGTGAGTGATTCTCGGAAGAGTATCATTCAGACTTTTGTTCCAAGGACTTTGGACTGAATAGGTATTTCTTTAAGTGTCTTGGTTGTTAAATGCATGCGACTGCATTGTAGTGTGAATTGTTGTCTGTGTCCGTTGTTTTGAGTGTGGATGATTGTACTGTGCAGTCCGTTGGTTTGTTGGTGACATATTGTACTCAACTATTGTGGAGTGTGCATACTCGTGTATTGTTTTCGATCTGCCATTATTGAGAATATAATTTTGTTTGTTTATCAACTCTCGGCTCTGACTTGTTCTTTGGGCCACAGCCGGCGTCTTCTGGCGCGCCAATAAGGACCACTTCTAAATTGTCCACGCTTTCGTGGTGCGGTTCGGGGGGCCGACACTTCGGCTCTTGGAATTAGCTCGGCGATCGCCTCCCTAATTAACGGGACCTGTGTGACAACAATAAAATATCAGTATCGTGTTCATTTACAGTAATCTCGACTGCATCCAAATCAAAGGGTCGCACATGCGGCCGAACGGCGTCTTTCAGTAAACCAAGTATTCATCGAGGTAGACTACTGAAGAATAAAAAGTGTGAATTGTCACTGCTATGTAACGCGCAGTGTTTCATACCAGACACAGAAAACGCTTAAACTGTGCGGCGTTCTTCTCCAACAAAACATCTCGATGCTCGTTCTTACATTCCCCAACATATCAACTGAAGATCGTAGAACTCACAGTGCGAATGGGCGACCGTATGCGACCAAAGTGCACTGTAACCAACTCGTGGTCATCGCAGAGCTGGTGACGTTCAGTCTAGACCTCCTCCCTGTCTACTGCTTTTGCGGCGCAACGGGAGGTAGTTGGTAAGAGAAACTGGGGAAGCCTCGTGCCACGGGCAAGTGCGAAGCGTTGTACACTTTGAGAGCGCGAATTTCGGGCCAGACTTGACAGCGTCGACACATTGCGAGGAGAGAGCAAGACAATTACTGATGCTGAGTGCCGATTTTGGTCGGCTAAGCGACCCTTCCTCTCCAGCGGGTGATATTTCTTCGTTACGCGCTCATGCTGTGGCGTTCACGTGGTTACATTGCGTGCATGCGTCGCTGGCATTCTGCATAGAGGACAAAAAGTTCGGAGTGGAAGTCAAAATTAATGTTTGATTCAATTGTAGCAATTTATTTTAAGTTGCCGACTGGTCATGGTTTATACAATCGATGCTATGTCGAAGCTGTAGTTTTTCCTGTTAAATAAAGTGACATCAGGTCTTTTTTCTTCCGTTTAACTTCAGGAATATGTCATACTGATGGGTGCCCTTCTGTACATTAGATAGGAATGAAAACTTGGGCACGAGACGCCAGCATGCGCAGTGGCGGTGTCAACTGGGCCGCCCACGCCTGATTTGCGAGTAGGTGTGATTATAAAATGCTCCACATTTAATAAAAACAGACAACCCAATGCACAAGCGAAATCAGAATGCCACATTCCTCGCTCATGGGTTACACGTGGAACTGCCCTTGATTTAAATTGGATGCTGTTTAGAAAATTATTACAGGCCTGCTGACGTAATCACAGCTGCAATGCATAGCGCGACGTGGTTTTATTGCTTTCAGGAACGAAGCTTTTTATAGCATCACTTGGTCGGTCGTCGACTTCTATCCAGCTTAGCCAGCATATCAACGTGGTGAATATTATGAGTGGGGTGAAGCGTCTGTCTGTCCGATGCATGCTGTAGTGTGATAGGAGTCAGCGGATGCATGGATGAGCGAATGCACGGATGATTCAACCCCCTAATCATTCACTCCGTGCATATGCTGTAACTTAGTTTATTTATCCCTTACGCGCCGAACAGTGTTTTGCTTGCCGTTGACAAGTCCCACTGAACGTTCCTCATATATAGGGAAGACTAGTTGTGGCGAGCACGGTTGGACGGCCGGCGTGTTAGCCTAAGAAGCAAAGAACGCATCTAAAAAGCTATAAAACCACGTCGTAGACCAGCTGTGATCACATTAGGGCGTCTGCGAAAATTCTCGAAACAGCGTTACAATGAAAAGCAGCGCTAGTTAAATTAGAGCAAGAAGAGTCCATTCAGTCGAGTGTAAAAAGTAATCCATGGACGTAAAATGCTGCAGTCGTCTGACCTCGCTTGCGGATCGGGCTGCCATTTTTCTGTCTTCTTCGCCAGTACCCCCCTCCCCCTTCTATACAGCCTGCGAACTTCGAAGTATAGTTTCGAGCACATGCGGATCTCTTGCAGAGGCATTGCAATTTTAACCGCTCTAATATGGGTGGTGCCAAGCTACAGCAAAATAAAAACTCCATTTGAAAATGTCCCGGAACTGTCCTTGTGAACTTAGTTGGGACACCTGCTGCGCAGGGCGTATTCGGCCGGTACACTATCTAAACGGCCAGTTACTAACAGCATGCGCTGGAGTAACGCCTTCTAGAAAGACGCCTGTGACATCACAGGATTTCCCATGGGGACGGGATGTTCCTCGTGGTTCAGTGCTTTCTCCGCGAGGTGCGCTCTCAGCCGACACAACCAATTCCGCTGAATTCAGAAGTGATGCCATCACTAAGGCACTATTGTGTTGCCTCCAAGACGACAGTAAATATTACTTTAATCCCAGAGGCTGTAAGATTTAAAGCGGCTACCGCAGTGAGCGCTCAACGCCGACACTATTTGGGCAGCAGAGGAGGAGAGAACAGGAGAGGGCCGGGAACCAGCTTTTCGGCTCTGGTCGCAGACATCTTTCTAGAGGAGGCGTTGGCTGGACGGCACTTCGGCGTCGATCTATGCACTTTCATTATGGGACGAAACAAAAAGAGCTTCGGGCTACAAAAAACATTTGTCATGCATTTCACAGGTCAAAACAAGCAAAGTTGTCACCCGAAATTCTCGCTGTTATAGCTCCCGTGACTTTTTTCTCCCGCGTAATGAACGTTCCCTCAAAATTGGCATATTTTTTGAAAAAAAGGTGGGCTCATTACACGAGTAAATATGGTATGTTACATGGTTAGAGAAGAGTGAAAAAAATTCCAAGCAGTAGAACTGAGCAGTAATGAAGCATACAAAGGTAATACAAGGTAATCGTACGCATCTGCATATATGAAGAAGCATGCTTTGCAATGAAATTGTGAAAGATTGTCTGAAGCCTTTCAAACCTATCATGAAAAACAAGGTGAGAATGAGTGGAAATCTCTGGGACAAGCTTTCAATCAGGAAATTGACATAAAACTAAGCTGACCATGACAACAATGACCATCCTGACCTAGATAATCGCTCGTGAGCTGGCCTTTTGTGATTTGCATGACATTGAGGTTAAACTAAATCACTGTAATGTATTATGCCACCTCACTAATTGCAAAGCTTTTGCGGACCCTGAACCCAAAGGCCACATGTATTGTTTATGCAACATTATGTATCAATATGAATTTCACCTTGAACGCACAACACAAGGTCTGTCACAATGAAGCAATTATATAAAGAGCTATAATGTTGTCAACAACCTGCCACAACAGTGCACCGATGTGAATGCACAAATCAGTCGCACACTTAGCACTAATAGCTGCCTTTATGTTTCCGTTACAAAACGTAGTTAGAGGCCCAATTGTAAGCAAAGCAAAGCAGGTCTGTTAGCAGTTCCAAAAACATGCATACATAAATTGTGGTAGCAAAAACAAAATGTATGTTATAATCATTAAGCACACCCACAACTAGGCTCAAGAGAAAAAAAACAAGAAAAAAGCAATGAGAGCAGAGCAATTACCTCTTCTAGCTCTGCTGGTGTTGTAGCCATAGATATTTCTAACTCCACATGCTGAGGAAGATGGCAAGACAAATCTGTTGCTTCTCCCTCAGTCTCAATGTTCTTCTTCTGAACATGCAGTGCTGCCTACACAATGCAGGAAAATTTAAAAAGTCACAAAATCTACAGTATAATCAAGCCAGGATTGTCTAATTGACACAGCCTATCAGATATCTTAAATTTCCACAGAAGTGTCTAGCTCAACCATGGCAACAGTAGTTATCTTAACTCCTCAACTACGAGAAGAACTGCAGGCACAGAATATTTCAACTTCAGAGACAGTACAGTGCTATTCCATACATTATTTACATAGTTACTTAAAAGACATGAAGTGCTTTAGCTATTTTTAAAACATTTAATTGGAACCATTTCTGAAAACCTCTTTTTACAACTGTAAGTAAACGGTTTCATTGGCTGCTAAAGCTGTACCACAGACATCTCCAGCGTGCGTGTTCTGTTGCTTTATGCAGAAAAGGTTGCCATTAGCTCAGGTATATCTACCAGTTATGCTCGAGATGCTAGCCAGTGTCACAGATGCTGTGAACACTCCATGACTATTCATCAAAGTGCAAGTTTCATTAAAACAGAGCGAGGTATCTTCTAAACAGTCATTTATTGCCTCAATGATATAGCTAACGACATGTTGCATCAATAAAATATTAGACGCAAACCCTCTTGTAAATGTGATGAGTTTCCACATTTTCATAAGTAGTGCTTGCACCGAGTGTACCGAGTGAATGTACAAAAAGGCACACCTGGTTGTCGAATCGCTGTGCTGATGTCAAGTGGCTGCCGACTAAGTCCACAGTGGCAACACGCAGCTTTTTGTCGAGTGCCAAAAGGCGAGCCAGATGGCCTTGCCCTGATCCAACGTCTAGCACGTGTGAGCAGTTGCACTTCTTTGCAAGCAACTCAATCACCTGGAATGCAAGAATGGTGGACACAAGAGAACTTGCAGTCTTTCACAGTGTGGCTACAAAGAAGCGAAAATGTTAGCGCTCCCTGTTCTAGCTTGCCCAGGTGGAAGAGAGAGGGCGCTTGTTCGTCTCACCACAGAATAGAATAATGACTGAAAAAGCTGCGAAAAGTGCCATCTTTTCCAGTGTCCATGCACGAGCGTGTTGTAGCACTAAAACAAGAGTATATAAGAGCATAGCCAGCTTCCAAACAGCGCTACGATAAATTGCACATGCCACTGCATGTGCAGGATCAACCTATATGTCAATGTGCATTTGTCAATATTCCAATAATAACAACAACAATGACAATAACAACAACAACAACAACAACAACAACAACAACAATAATAATAATAATAATAATAATAATAATAATAATAATAATAATAATAATAATAATAATAATAATAATAATAACAACAATACTAATAATAATATCTGTGGTTTTATGCACTAAAACCACAACATTATTATGGATTGAACCCACGACCTTCGGATCAGCAGCTGAGCAGTGCGACAGACTGTCATCATTCCAGCATCTGCTCCCTGCGTGTATAAAAAGCTAAAATATAATTGCCAAATTAGCTACTGTAACTACTCCTTCTACTTTCTCAGCAGATATTTGAGGGCAGCCAGCTGAAATGAAAGCACAGCAGCTGTACAGTTAATTCCACCTTACTTAAATGCCTGCATTAAATTGCCCCCCCCCCCCACCATAGGAGATTCTCGTGCATTTCAAATGCGTGCTAGAAAATGCAGAAGTGCAATTTATACTAGTAAACAGATACAAGAAATGTTATATACGATATGATTCTGATGTTACCGTTACCATATACCACTGATAAGTGGGGAGAAAAGCGTGCATACCATTGCCAACCTAATTATTTCATGCTGCTTCTTTAGCTTCACATGCTTCCTGAAAGCATGTGTCAGGTTCCTATTGCCACATCGGTGAAAGACTGGCCACTGTATATCTTTGCCACCTGAAGGAATAAAGAAGAAGACCAAGTAGAAAAGGATATCTTATAATTTTGTTAATGATAAGGGTAAAATTCATGTGCAAGATTAATTTTATTTTGGTATATCCGTTCAAACTAAGCATTTCTGGGTAATCTTAGTGCCCAAACTACATGCTCACTTATGGGTTAATTTTGAACAAACTAAAGTATGCCTTCCATGGTAGGTTTACACCATCCAATTATCAGAGCGAGATTGATTTGTTTCACGAGTTTATGATGCAATTAAAAAGCAAAGCAATTCGAATGCTCATAAAAATGTGGCTACAACTGTTGTTTTATGTCAACGATTACTAGTAGTAGCGAAGCATAGACTATGCGAAGTAATGTGATATGTATACAAGATAAATTTGACTCATCTGTTACAGCTGTTTAATCCCTGACTGCCATTTTTTTCTGACAGATAGTAATGTTCTAGGATAAATTTTTGTTTCATTAGCATGGAAGCTGAGATATGGGTGTCTGTTCATGTTCATCTATATTTAATCGAGAACAAATGAATGTGGTGCTGTTAATCAATTGTGACAGGCTGGGGACAAAGTGAATAACGACTGCTTGACTATATATATATTGACGCGTGTCTACATGTGGACGATAACGATGATGGGGCATTTAGTGGGCACGAGGTAGTGGGCCTCTAGCTTCTCTCGAGGCTGAAGAAGACGATCTTGTGACTGAGCTGTTCAGGACACGCTGCCTTTCGTCGTCCCAAGGTGTATCTGTGTTTTATTCGCGTTGTACCGCGACACTGGTGGAGGTGCTGGGCCGCAACCCTGTCTGATGCTCCACACGCCCGCTGGGAGCCGCTCATCGAGTCCAAACGCACTGTCACCTGTAGAAACACCGGTGCATCGCTCCAGTCGACGGTTGCGAGGCCTCGCGCCAGAGCTGACTCACTCGCCGGAACCTGCTAGGCACCGCACAGCTCAACCAATGGCCAACGCAAGCCCGCAACAGGTGCCCCAAGGCAGCTTTCCGACGCACCCATCTCAGGTGACCCTCTTTCAACCCCTCGTTCCCGATCGCTTTAGTGGCGGTGCCCATGAAGACGTTCACGACTGGCTTGACCACTATGAGCGTGTTGCCAAGGTAAATCATTGGTCGGAACAAGAAAAGCTTTGGCGCGCCTATTTCTACCTTGACGACGGTGCTCGTACTTGGTATGAGAATAGAGAAGGCAATCTGTCAGCTTGGCCCGACTTTCGAGAGAAGTTCGTCGATACCTTCGCCAATATCGATAGAAGGGACCGCGCGCAGCAGTTATTGGAGCTACGGGTTCAAAAACCCAACGAAACCGTTGCAATGTTTGCCGAGGACATGACTCGTCTCTTCCAACGAGCTAACCCGCACATGACGGAAGATAAAAAGTTGAGTTACCTCATGCGCGGTGTCAAGGAGCAGCTTTTTGCCGGGCTACTGCGCAACCCTCCGACTACCGTGGTTGACTTCATTAAGGAGGCTACGGCTATCGAGCGGGCCCTTCATCAACGCTGCAGGCAATATGACCGCATGTCCTGCAATGTCCCAATCAATGCTACCGCCATGACGTCTGAGAGTCAGAGCTGCTTGCGAGACTTGATTAGGGAGATAGTTCGCGAGGAACTGCAGAAGTTGCGGAATCCTGTTGCTGAAAATCCCATCGCATCGATCGCTGAAGTCGTACGCGATGAAATCCACCAAGCGTTGTCTACGGCTAGTCCTGATGCTCAGCAGCGTCCTATGAGCTACGCTGCCGCTCTCCGACGTCCACCACCAGCTATGCCGACGCTGTACCACCAGGTGCCAATGGCCCCTTCGTATCCGCCGCAAGAGCAGACACTGCATCAAACACCTACGCTACAGCCACATAACCAGCCATCCACAGCCACCCCATGGGCATCGACGCGTCCACCGACCCGGAAAACAGATGCATGGCGCACCGTGGACAGGCGTCCACTATGCTTTCACTGCGGAGGTGCAGGACATATTGCCCGTCATTGCTGGCATCGAGGTGATTCATTCCGTCCTCAACGACCTTGGTTTGACGGTCGACGTGCCAACGACGATTACACTCCGCGCCGTGACGACACCTCTTTCTATGGAGCCCGTTATCACTTTGAGGACGGCTCTACCACTGCAGAGAAGGCAATGCCTGCTCAGCCTCCTGGTCCGAGACGTCAGTCCCGCTCTCCGTCCCCCGCACGTTCGCCTTTGTCGCACCACCGCACCTATGCGAACCTTAATACAAGAAGGTCACCTAGCCCGCGCCGGGGAAACTGAGAGCGGCGACCTCCGGGGGCAAGGTTGCAGGCCATAAAGATAACGACAAGAAGCCCCCACAGCACGACGCCATACAGCCGATAAGCCGGGAAAACGATGAAATTGTGACTGCTGACCTTAGTGTTCTTCTCGACGGCCAGAAAGTGACAGCTTTAGTCGACACTGGTGCCGACTTCTCCATTATCAGTCAGGACCTCGCCGACAGCCTCAGAAAAGTGAAGACGCCGTGGACGGGCCCTCATATAAGAACAGCAGGAGGCCAGTTATTGATGCCCTCGGGAAGATGTACCGCAAGAATTAACATCGGAGGTTCTCCTTTCACGGCGTCGTTCGTCGTTATCGCCGCATGCTGCAGAGACGTAATTCTCGGCATGGACTTTTTACGGGAATATGGTGCCGTCATCAACATACCAGAGAGCTTGATTACGTTTTGCAACAGTTCGGGCTTACCCGATTCCCCAGAGGCGCGACCAAACCAACTGCGTCTTACTGATGACGATGTGGTTCTCCCTCCGAGGTCATGCACGCTTGTTTCTGTGGCCGCCGCTGCTCAGTTTGACGCCGAAGGAGTTGCGGACCGAATAAGCTCGCTGCTCTTCACCCACGGTATTTCTGTCGCACGAGGTATCGTCAGAGTTGCTGCTGGACGCACGGACTTGCTGCTGACCAATTTTAGTGCTGAGCGCCGGCATCTTCCTAAAGGCACGGCTGTCGCTTACTTCGACGATGTCATAGATGCCGAAGGCTGCTTGGCGGTAGTCGACGAGTCGCTAAATCTTGATTCAGCGCCTGTTCTGGACGTTAGCATTACTTTGCCAAAAGACGACCGACGCAGACTCCTTGAGTTACTGGCCAAATTTCAAGACTGCTTTTCGACAACATCAAGAGTTGGCCGCACGCCTCTAACCAGGCATCGAATAATTACCGAGGAAACGGCGAGACCTATTCACCAGAACCCTTATCGCGTGGCTCCAAAAGAACGTGAAGCGATACAACAGCAGGTAGACAGAATGCTTGAAGATGACGTCATTCAGCCTTCACAGAGCCCCTGGGCGTCGCCTGTAGTCCTCGTTAAGAAAAAGGACGGCAGCCTGCGCTTCTGTGTGGATTACCGGAAGCTAAATCAGGTGACCAAGAAAGACGTATATCCACTACCACGTATAGACGACTCTCTCGACAGACTTCGACATGCTCGATACTTCTCTTCAATGGACTTGCGGAGTGGATATTGGCAAATCGAGGTGGACCCGAGAGACCGCGAGAAGACCGCTTTTGTGACACCAGATGGGTTATATGAATTTAAGGTCTTGCCATTCGGTTTGTGCTCAGCCCCTGCTACCTTTCAAAGACTCATGGATACCGTGCTTTCTGGGTTGAAGTGGAAAACATGCTTAGTATATCTGGACGACGTCATAGTGTTTTCCGCGACGTTTGACGAGCACCTTGAAAGACTTGAGGTGGTCTTACGAGCCATACAGTCCGCGGGCCTGACGTTGAAGCCTGAGAAGTGCCACTTTTGCTACGAAGAGCTGCGATTTCTTGGTCATGTCGTCAGTCATGCTGGTATTCGTCCCGATCCTGAAAAAATCGCAGCCGTAGAACAGTTCCCTATGCCGACCGATAAAAAGGCTGTCAGACGCTTTCTCGGCCTCTGCGCGTATTATCGACGATTTATCGCAGACTTCGCACGCATAGCATCACCACTAACTCGCCTAACAAGAGAAGACGTCACCTTTGAGTGGAATAACGAAGAGGAAGCTGCTTTTAACAATCTTCGCCAGCGACTACAAACACCCCCAGTCCTTGCCCACTTCGACGAGAGAGCCCCTACGGTGCTTCACACCGATGCTAGCAATGTCGGTCTGGGAGCTGTGCTTGTGCAGCAGCAAGATGGCGCAGAAAGGGTAATCGCTTACGCAAGCAGAACGTTAACACGTGCTGAGGCTAATTACTCCACGACTGAGAAGGAGTGTCTCGCCGTGGTATGGGCGGTTACAAAATTTCGTCCGTATTTATATGGCCGCCCCTTCAAAGTAATTAGCGACCATCACTCACTGTGTTGGTTAACTAATCTTAAAGACCCTACCGGCCGATTAGCGCGTTGGAGTCTCAGGCTGCAGGAATTCGACATGACAGTCGTACATAAGTCAGGGAAGCGACATATGGACGCCGACTGTTTGTCCCGTTCACCCATTGAGTCGGCAACCCTACCCGAGGAGGAGGAAACATCATTTCTCGGTGTCCTCGACACGACCGCCATTGCGCAGCAACAACGAGACGACGCTGAGTTGCTTGGCTTAATTACCTACTTGGATGGCAGATCTCGGAAGGCGCCAAGAGTTTTCGCAAGAGCGTTGTCATCATTTTGTTTACGTGGCGGAGTACTCTATAAAAGAAATTTTTCGTCGACGGGATCTGCCTATCTGCTCGTCATCCCAGCAGCCCTTCGCACCGAAGTACTGAAAGCATGCCACAACGAGGTTACCTCTGGCCACTTGGGTTACACAAGAACGTTGGCCAGGGTACAGCAAAGGTATTACTGGCCAAGATTAACCACAGCCGTGAAGCACCACGTCCGTACCTGTCTCGACTGCCAGCGACGCAAGTCACCGCCAACTAAACCAGCTGGCCTCCTGCAACCCGTACAGGTCCCAATGACTCCATTCCACCAGATCGGTATGGACATTTTGGGCCCACTCCCTACTTCTACTGCAGGCAACCGATGGGTTATCGTCGCGACGGATTATTTGACCCGTTATGCCGAGACAAAAGCTATCCAGAGAGGTACAGCAGCGGAGGTGGCAAGATTTTTTATCGAGAATATTGTACTGAGGCATGGTGCACCAACCGTCGTAATCACAGACAGAGGAACCGCATTTACAGCAGCTCTTTTGGACCATGTTTTGATGCTGAGTGGAACAACGCATCGTAAGACCACCGCATACCACCCACAAACAAACGGGCTGACAGAGCGTCTAAACAAAACCATTGAAGACATGCTTTCGATGTACGTTGACGTCGAACACAAAAACTGGGATACAATCTTGCCTTACATAACGTTTGCATACAACACGGCCAAGCAAGAAACGACCCGCATGACACCTTTCAGCCTCGTTCATGGACGGGAAGTACGAACCATGTTAGATGCAATGTTACCGCACGAAGGCGACGACATCGTCCCGGACGCCGACACGTTTACGGAACGCGCAGAAGAAGCTAGGCAACTTGCACGTTTACGGATCAGCCAGCAGCAAGACTACGATGCAGGCCGCTGCAATGCTCACCGCAGAACAGTCGTCTACCAAACTGGCGACAAAGTATGGGTTTGGACGCCCATACGAAAACGAGGACTTTCCGAAAAACTTTTAAGAAGATACTTTGGACCGTACCTAGTTGTGCGACGACTGAGCGATGTCACTTACGAAGTTGTTCCCGACTGTTCGTATAGTACAAGGCGTCGCCAGCACCATCCTGAACTCGTTCACGTAGTCCGCATGAAACCCTACGTCAGCGAGTGATTGCATGATACTTTAATTTAGAAAAAAAAACTGTATTACAGACTGCGCATCGGGGCGATGCTCTTTGGGAGGGAGGCAAATGACGCGTGTCTACATGTGGACGATAACGATGATGGGGCATTTAGTGGGCACGAGGTAGTGGGCCTCTAGCTTCTCTCGAGGCTGAAGAAGACGATCTTGTGACTGAGCTGTTCAGGACACGCTGCCTTTCGTCGTCCCAAGGTGTATCTGTGTTTTATTCGCGTTGTACCGCGACAATATATATATATATATATATATATATATATATATATATATATATATATATATATATATTGTCTATATATATATATAGACAATATATATATATATATATATATATATATGTATTGTTATGGCCAAGAAAGACACTGGGGCTTCGGCGTGCGGATAGCTAGAGCAAGGAAAAAAGAACGAAGTCACAATAAGAACAGCTGGCCCAGGATCGGGTGTTGTCTCTTGTTCTCTGTCTCGCTCATTACAATGGCGCAGTCGACGAAGAAGAAGTCTTACGTCCCGGCTTCGTCATCCAGGACAGCCATGATAAGCGCCGCTTGAGGACGGGGTCAAGGCCTCCTCGGCAGCTGTTCACTTGCCGCCACTGCCACCACCGTTCGGGGACGGCGTCAAGACCTCCTCCGCGGCTGCAGTATACACGTTACCGGTACGATTTCACAAGGGACGCCGTCCACGCGTCCTTGGCAATGGATTCTGCCGTCAGCGCAAGCCGACAAGTGAACCCTATGCGGGAAGCCACCGGTACGTGTCTTCGTGGTTTGTCGGCAGTGCGGGCTTCTCCATCCAGGAACGCCGTTCACGCTTCTTTAACGATGGAGTCAACAGCCCGGCCGCCGCTTCAGCTGCCCATCGGACCATAAGTGAACGGTGTCGATGCCTCCTCTGTGGTACCAGGGCATCAACCAATGGACACTATGCTACCACTTCGTGGCCGTAATACGCACGGGCTCCTGTCCTTTGGGAATGCTGTTCAAGCTTCCCATGGCCTGCATTCCCTGTCCGGTACTCTTCCAACACATAACCAGCCAAGAAACGCTGTTCATGCTTCCTCGGACGTGCGTGTCACCACCGTGAGTACTATTAGAACCACGTACTTTATGGACGCGAACCAAAGCGGTTCAGAAGCCTCGTGCGACAGTGCCGTGGAACTGCGGCGTACCATTGCACTGCTCCGCACCGAGACTAACAAACTGACAGCGTTGATCGCAGAGCGAGCTCCTTCAATGTTGCCAGCATTGTGTGACATTAACGCAGTGTTGGATGTAGCTGCCTAATACGACCTTGAGGCAAGCACACCGGAGCAATGCAGGGAGCTTTGGTCTTCTCTGATCGAGCTCTCACACCAGCTCGACTGCTTTGCGTCGGTGATCTCTGCGTTGCCACCTGCCACCTCACAATCACCAGCCGTCTGCGAACTACCGGAATTCCACGGGGTCCGGAACGACGCCGACAGCTGGGTGGCAACCGTGAACGCGATAGCAATGCGAGAGGCCTGGACGGAATCTCAGAAATGGACCGTGGCTACCGTCTTCGGGAAGGTGCAGCGGCGTGGCACCGGTATGAAGGCTTCAAGCAGCAGTCCTGGGTGGAGTGAAGCTCCAAGCTCATAGCTGTCTTCAGCCGGACACTCTCCGATCTCCCTTCCACACCCAGTCCAACCTGACCGGTACCGAGGATGGAGTTCAAGAAGGGTTCCATCTCGAGGCTCCAGCTGAGCACTCCAGTTCTCCACATGAGCTTCCAGACTCGTCGCTGGTACCGGACCCAAATTCGTGTCAGCCATCGGCCACCCCGTCCTCTTTCATGGGGGGAGATACAGAGGGGCACAGGGTAGCTGGACCCTTCGTCAACGCGTCCACTACCATATATCGAGCTCAAGTGGTGCGGCAGCTCGATGTCTCATCGCAGTCCTCCAGTCTGACAACAGGCAACAAGACCACCCTCGAGCCTCAGCAATTGGCATCGCAGCCTGTCCAGAACGCCGACAGCAATGAAGACCAGTGCCCCAAACTGTACCAACGGAATCGCCTGCTAAGCGTGCTGCGACCGCTACGAGATAACCATGATCACCGACCAGAGTGGCCCGTCCAAAGCGCGCTGTCAGGTGCATGTTTAGCTGCTTCCCACAGAGAATCTCTGCATGGCCGAGACCAACCACAACGATGCAGCCAGAATCGACCACCCGATAGACTTGTGGCAGACTCCGGCACCCAGTTCCAGCGTGGTCGAGGCCGACCTCCGAGATGCAGCCAGTATCGACCACCAGACCTACTTCTGGCAGATACCCGGACCAAATCGCAGCATGGCCGAAAGCGTCGGCCGCAACGGGGCAGCCAGTGCCGGCCGCCTGAGTCCACACCACTTTTTCAAGAGACATCGTGGCGTGCAAAAGAGCGACCGGCTCGAGGCAGCCAGTGCCGTCCACCAGAGACGCTTTCCCCAGACCGTCGCTACATCTTGCATTGTGGTCCGGGCTGACCACCACGATGCAGCCAAGCCTGCCCCACCAGAAACTTTGCCGCCAGCTCCACGTGCGCGCTCTCATGGCCGAGTGTCATGACCAAGAAAGACACTGGGGCTCCGGCGCGCGGATAGCTAGAGCAAGGAAGAGAAGATCAAAGTCAGAATAAGAACAGCTGGCCCAGGATCGGCTGTTGTCTCTTATTCTCTGTCTCGCTCATTACAATAATATATATATATATATATATATATATATATATATATATATATATATATATATATATATATATATATATATATATATATATATGATGCCACTGGGCAACCGCTTATATGCAGACTTGCTGCGCAAGCAGAAAGGTGGTAAACAGGATAAAGCTCCATACTTTCTGCTTGCGCAGCAGGTCTAGATTTCAGTATGGACTGTCGTACTAATCTTCAAAGAAGTATTGTTGCAATATGTTACACAGCTTCATCTCCACAGAGTAAAACAACTCGTAGCTCGGGAATTTGTTGTTACTTGATTTTCAGAGAAAAGTCAAACGCACAAATTGCGACAATTCGCTCACCGACTAAGTCATCTGGAAGCAAAATCGGTATGTCAGCTGGGGATGCAACAGGACATCGATTCAACGCCAGCTGCCTCGCTACTGGAGCAAGGCACATCAACGACAGCGGCCACACCGAACGTCTCCTGGGGACAAAATGAAAGTTCAGACGTCTGTGCAGGCTACCACGCTTTTGTGTCAAAAGGACAGTTCTAGAGGCTCTAGTGCAATAGAGACAAGTTCAAAATTAATGCAACAGGTAGCCTAAGAATCAGACTAACATATGTTGCCCTTGAATATGACACATATGTAAAACGCACTCGTATACACTTACTGTGCAAGATGTCCCGTCTCTAACCAGTTGGAAAGATCGCTTAAATCGATGGCTGACAACGCCTCCTGCCACGAAGACGGCAGTTTATGCCATTGCTGCTCAACGAAGTAATCCTGCGAGCACGCGCGCATTCGCGATAATCCGTGACGACGCCGAAAGAAATATCCGCCATTTTTACACGCACTGATAGACGGCACTTACCAATACGTAGGCATCGCTCAGCCAGGAATACTGGGAAAGAAACGTGCCCAGAAGTGTGGCATACTTTTTGACATCCGAAACATGCGCCGCGTTGCAAACAAGCGGGCACATGGCAAACGTAAACACGAACTAGCCAGCTGCGCTCGCCATGATGATGATGATCGCAACTACAAAGTACGAGCCGTGTTCCGCCATTCTAAAAGGAGGAAACAAGAAAATTAGCGTAAGATATTTGAAGTAGGCTGAAAGTTTACAGCCATTTTTTTTTTTTCTGCTACCTCTAACATCTCACTAACAGGTCGACCAGGCTAGAAATCGGGACATGCCGCGACTTTCAGAAAGTGTCCCGGCGACTTTTTCTTTTTTCCCTAGTCGTGGTGACGGTTGTGATAACTGGGCTCGGGCAATCCCATCACAAATGCCACCACACGCATAGCTAACCATTGTCATGGGATGACGGGACTTTCAAGCAGCAGTCACCCCCCCCCCCTCCCTAAAGAGCGATTCCTTGCAGTGTGATAGCTTTTGAAAGAGGAATACCAATCAGCCCACACTCGAACCTTATTCCCCCTGCTCTACCGCACTAGTGCCTAAAAAATTATTATATACAAAACGCTGCTGAAACGTCGGCCACAGTCCCATGAAGAATGTACCTGGTTGCTTCCAAGACATTACAAGCCTGCAACGTGTTTCACGTTGCTTTACTTTGGTTGCAGTGTAACAGCTCTCAATTTACCTTGCCAACTGGACAGACTTCTGCCATATGTTTGCCTTCAAGTGCAACCTTAACTAGTAATGGTTTTGGGCAGCAGAGGTCAAGAATTAACTTTTGCTGATGATGCCAGGCTGTTCCACTTGGACCACCGAGGATGCACCAAGAAGAATAGCATAGAAGTACCGGTGTTTGTTTTGTTTGTGCAGATGTAAGCTTTAGACAACAGAGCGTAAGCACAATAATACGCAACACAACAAGGCTCCCTTTATTTTAATCGCTCCATCGAGAACAAAAAATCGAACGGGAGATCATAGCATTGCCGCATGCATGAAAGCAGGCAACAACACTTCGCAAAGTAACAAAACTCAACACGCCGTAACACCGATACTAAAAAAATAAAAACACCAGAACAATTTCTGGTAGCACATTTGCATCAAGCAAAGGTTTACAGTCACTGCTGATGAAAGCAGTACAAGCGTCCCAACTGCGTTCACTCTGGCATTCGTGTGGGGCTCCATTTGGTCACAAGCTTGTTGCATTTTTTTTATTCCAGGCATCGCACAATCACACCAACCCAAGTAGCACGTATCTCTTCCTGCCCGCTGGGTCGACATCTTAGAGTCGACAGCCACGTGCCGCCGCTGTTGTGGTTCAGGCAGTAGAAGTGGCAAGCGTACAGCCGATACATGTAGTCTCCAACAGTGGGAGAGCAGTCAGGAGATCACACCTTATGGTTTGCTGCGGCAGAGAGGGCTGTGACCTGCTCCAAGACGCTCTCAATGAAGGGCCTCTGCAAGCAGTCCACTTCTAACATTGTGCGGATAAGTCCGTGAAGCCCTCCGGAATATCTGAAGCACACAGATGGAGGCAATTCATTAAGCTGTGTACAGTAGTAGCAGCAAGAAAACAAAATAACAGTACGGTTCCCAACAGAGCTGAAGTTGGCTGTGCCTCAACTCACGGGCTGTCTGAAGGAATGTCGACATGGCCACTGAGTACGGCCAGGGCCACACTGTCACCTCGCTCGTGGGCAGCCTCGAATGGGGACCGGAAGAAGCACATGGCGTAGAGGCAGCAGCCAAGAGACTGCATCAAAAACCACGCCGTTTGTTAACACATTATGCACAAATGGCACGTCTACATGTATGATCCAATAGTACATCTGTGGTCCTTGCAGCATCCAATAATAGCATCGGCGTCACCAGCGAGGAGCGCTTGAATTGTCTACTAAACTAGCCTGCCACACAGCCATCCTTGTACAATAACGGGCAGACTAAACACATGAACACAATTCAGGACAAAGGCCAAAGTTGGCACTTACCCAAATGTCAACTCGCTCATCTATTGATGTACGGCTTTCCACATTGAACAGTTCGGGAGCTCGGTATGACATGCTGCATTTTTCTGTAGCCAAGTCCTGGGAATGTGACACATAACAAAAGTAACTGCAACTCGATTGATGTCAGGTTTGTCATACAGTCAGGCAATACTTCATGTTGAGTAGCCACCCTGGCACCCAATATGTTGTTAGAAAGCATTTATGTACAAAGCAAAAAACAAAATTGTGTGAAATACACAGTAATCAATTAAGTTTAAATCTATTACCTACAGCACGAGCTAGCTGCTGGGTAGCATCATCACTCACCTGCAGTGCCATGGCCTCACTAGTGCGGCCAATATCAAGCCGAGCTCTACCCATGCTGCCGAAATCCATCCACACGGGTACGTCGTCGTCACTGAGCAGCACATTTGCAGGCTTCAGGTCCCTGCAGGGAACAGCAACAGCTTAGGACACAGCTGGGATTCCCATGCTGCACATGTTTAGCCCTTGAGAGGCTGTATCCTTTAATGCTTTGGATGGCCAGTCTCAGTCCTGCTCCTTCAATCCCTTCCTCCCACACCACTGTGCAGGTAGTGGACAATATGTGAAACAGTTATGGGCATGTTCCTGCTCCCAGAACAATTTCTTCATGCTAAGCTCACTCTATGGACATTTGTTATCATTCACAGAGTGGACGAAGGAAAACATAAAAAAAAGAGGGATAGACTAAAACAGACAAGGACTAATATAGATATAAACTTGTACTGTACTTTACGAAAGGGACACTTTAAAGTCAAAAGTTTTTCCTTTCTTTTTACATGAGAAACACAAACATCTAAAGAAGTAGTTACAATAATACATAGTTACTTTGATGCTCATTCACTTTGACATGTTCACTTCAGGTACAACAATTTTCCAGCTCTGTGGCAAATGTGGATTTCTGCTGTACAGCTGTTTATCTACCAGGTATGTTCCCCGCCAAAGTGAGAATATGGCTTTATTGAAAATATTGTGTCCCAGATAGTATAATTGCAAAATTAAAGCAAAGCAATTTAAAATGAGGTCACATTCTCGCTGCAGAAATGTAAAGGCTATCAGAACTTTTAAGATATCAGGCACTGTCATGTGATGCAGGATACGTGGGTTTTCTGGCTAGAACTGTTTCCGAAAGTTGTGCATTGAGCAGTTTGCGATGATATAAGGTGTTAAACCACTGAATTACTAAAAAAATCTTATAGATAACCAGTGGCGAAAAAAAAACCCCTAGTTTTAGGGCCTCTGCGAGCAAGTCATAATTTCACTGCCTTCAACTTGAATTTTACACCTAGAATATGTGTCATAAAGTAAATAATTCAAAAGCTCATTCGTAAATTTTTTAAACTGGTGTACTTCAGGTGAAATGTCACGCATGTAACAATCACCTTTTCAGATAATTCTAATAAGCAGTTTGCATTGTGCTAAATTTTTCACACAATAAAGTAAAAAATTCAACTAGAAAGGAAAAGCAGGATATAGACCCATTCCATGTTTGTAAACACAGGTAGGCCGATGTCGACATTATGGGTAAAATTATAGCAACGTCCGCACGTAACTTCGACCATAAGCGCTGAGGGCTGCGATGTGTGCCAACAAAACGACGTTGTGAGACGCCATAAGCGTTGTGAAAGCCATAAGCGCTGAGGTTTGCGATGTGCGCCAACAAACAAAACTAAGTTGTGAGACGGGACTCACATCCAGCCGCGGCGCAGTTCGTTGGCCTACCGTTTTTTTTTTCCTCTTTGCTTGACTGAGGATATCACATGCACCATTGAAAACCCATTGAAACTATGGTAGGCAGAGCGTCTTTTACCTATTAAGACAGTGCCACCGCGTTTTCGTGAATAAAGTCCGGTGGAATTTGTCTACAAGCAGCATTTTACCGACAAATTTAAGTTCAATCAAACTAGTGGGTATTACTCAAGAACAACATGAAGTGATAATGAGGCACACTGAAGTGTAGTATTTTCCACAATACCAACCACCTGGTTTCTCGAGCATGCACCTCAACCTCACGTTCACAGGTGTTTCTGGATTTCACCAACGTCATAAGGCTCTCACCACGGCCAGGAATCAAGACTACCAACCTCGTACTTAGCAGTGCAAGATGACAACAACTACGGCATTATGACAGATTGATTGATATGTGGGGTTTAACGTCCCAAAACCACTCTATGATTATGAGAGACGCCGTAGTGGAGGGCTCCGGAAATTTAGACCACCTGGGGTTCTTTAACGTGCACCCAAATCTGAGCACACGGGCCTACATTTCCGCCTCCATCGGAAATGCAGCCGCCGCAGCCGGGATTCGAATCCGCGCCCTGCGGGTCAGCAGCCGAGTACCTTAGCCACTAGACCACCGCGGCGGGGCGGCATTATGACAGGTGACACGCACTTTTGTCCCTGTTTTTATGTGGGCCGCAGTGTTTCCAACTGCGTTGCTGCTTGACATGTTTATCACGAGAAGCCTAACAACAGCAGCAGCAGCAGTCACGGCGGAATGTGCACGCTCTGAATCGCCTCACTCTGTATTTCCAGGCGCCCGAAGTTCCTTGCTTGGCAGGCACTACTGCTGAGTATCGCCCTGGTACCCCTCGCAACATCGCTCCGTCACGCCCGCGTGTCGCCAGCTACAGTGTTCAAAGGATACGCAAGCAGCGGTTGCGCATCCTGCTCTGCACATCCAAAACGGGGCTATAAGGACCACTCTGGACTGCCTGGAATCCATTGCAGCAGCAGCAGTCACGGCGGAATGTGCACGCTCTGAATCGCCTCACTCTGTATTTCCAAGTTGGTGTGCGAATTTTAAGTAACTATTCTGTGCTGTAAAAATTACCGTGACTGCTGCTCAACGCTGCTTTTGACCTGTATACAATGCCTACCTGTGCTGAACTTGCTAAAAAAATTGAAGCGCTTGAATCTGTGTTTAAAGAGCAATTAGAAACTGCAGTTAAAGAGTTCAAGGCGGAGGCTAGGAAAACACTGGATGACAAAGGCCTTGAAGAGCATGCAAAACTATGCGAGAGCGTTAAGTTCCTCAGTGCTCAGTACGATAACATATGTGTGAAGCAGAATGCGCTCATTGCAGAAAATAAAGCGCTAAGGGCCCATAACGAGTCTCTTGAAACCCGTTTGGCTGAACTTGAGCAATATTCTCGACAAAACAATATAGAAATTAAAGGTGTACCAACGACTAAAGGCGAGGACTGTACTGCCATTCTAAAGCGCATGGGCGATGCAATCGGATGTACTGTAACACCTGCTGACATAGACACAGTGCATCGTGTTCCCACGAAATCAGCAGTGAACAACATCATCGCTCGGTTTTGCAGTCGTGACAAAAAAAATGACTTCATCCGCAAAGCTCGCAAGGCTCGGCTTCGCGCCAGCAGCATTGGCTTTTCGGAATCTTCTGACCAGGCTATTTATACGAATGACCACCTTACTGCTCAGAATAAGAAGCTATTTGCTAGGGCACTGGCTCTCAAGAAAGAGCACCAGTGGAAATTTCTCTGGACAGAGAACTGTCGCATCCTGGCACGCAAGTCTGAAGATACCAGGGTCTTTCAAATAAATACCGCCTCTGACCTTTCGATTTTCATATAAACGATGCCTTACATATTCTGTGTCAACCACTAAGTTTTTCTTTTTTTTATGTCTTCGATTACCGTTAGCAACCTCAAACATTCGCTTACGTTACAGAAATATTCGCTAATTCATTTTAATGCTCGCAGCATCCGAAAGAACTATGACGCGATTACCACTTTTCTTTCTCTACTGCACCACCAGTTTTCGTTTATCTGCCTTTCGGAAACGTGGCTGTGCGACGCAGACCGTAACATGTATTCTTTTCCACAGTATCAGGCAGAGTATTGTCACCGATCTTATGACGCGCATGGTGGGGCTGCAATTTTTGTTTCCAGTGGGGTTTCGTACACGCGCAGGTTTGATCTGTCTTTCACCGTATCACTGTGCGAATCTGTGTGGATCGAATGTGGCAAGTCACCCCTAAACAACGGAAAAAAATTAATCATTGGCAGTGTGTATCGCTCTCCTTCATCTCCTGTTCTAGAATTTCTGTCAAATCTTGATAGATTACTTCACAAGCTATCTTTTGAGAATAAGCAAGTTGTACTGGTAGGGGACATCAACATAAACTTATTAGATATGGAATCCAGTGTCTACTCGGCTTACACGAACTGCTTCAGTGGCTTCGGCTACGAATCACTTATCACTGCTCCAACAAGATGTGGCCACCAGGGTTCCCAATCTCTTTTAGATCATGTCTTATGCAATTTTTCTCCCGCCCCCGAGGCTGGCGTGGTTGACACATACATTACAGATCACTTCCCCGTTTACATAACATTTAATGCTAGGCGCTCCAGTGTCGATAGCTGTTTTTACACATCTGTGCTGGATCATGACAAGTTTATCGATGCTATAGCTACAACTGACTGGTCACTTGTTAAGTCCGATATTCTTGATAATTCCTGCTCCAACGTAGAGGCTATGCTACAGAAATTCTGCACTTTATTTTTAAAGGCCGTAACATCTAGTAAATCAACTGTTAAATGCAAAAAACGGTATAAATTTCCCCACAATCCATGGATGACAAACGGCTTATTGACAAGTGTTCGTAAAAAAGATAACCTTTACAAAAAAACAAAAAGACAGCCTTTTAATACTTCGCTTCCCGCCGATACAGGAAATATTGCAACAATTTGAAAATTTTACTCCGAGAAGCAAAAAAGCGTTATTATGAAAATGAGTTGACCAAACATCAGGGGGACCCTAAAAAACAATAGAACCTTTTGAACAACTTTTTAAACGAATCATCTGGAAACTCACCTATATTATCTGAAATAATATATAATAATATTTCTTTGCAACAGCCAACTTCTATTGCAAATGCTTTCAGCGATTTTTTTTCTAGCATTCCTACTACACAATCGGGCATAGCAAAATGTTCCATTTCTCGGGTCGCTTCTTCATTTTTTCTTTTACTCGTAACCGCTGACGAAGTATGCTCAGTTCTTTTGAATCGAAAAAATAAATGCGCAGGTCTTGACAATATTTCTGCGTATCACTTAAAACTGGTTGCGCATAATATTTCTGGGATACTTAGTGATATCATTAATCTAATGTTTCAGCAAGGCGTATTTCCTAAACTTTTAAAGAAATCTAAAATAGTTCCGGTATTCAAGAAGGGTGACAAAAGAACAGTTTCTAATTATCGGCCCATATCAATTCTTTCTTCCCTCACAAAGTTATTGAAAAACTGTTCGTTGATCGTTTAAGTAATTACCTAAGCAAATTTAATATACTTCATCCGTGTCAATTTGGCTTTCGTTCAGGCAGTTCGACAAGCTTAGCACTAGTTTCATTAATAGATTACTTAAAAAAATCGATTGACTCTGGTAAATTTGTTGGATCTGTCTTCCTAGATTTCACCAAGGCCTTTGACACCATTAATCATGCCACCCTGTTTAACAAATTGGAGGCCTATGGGGTAACTGGAGCTCCATTAACCTTCCTGAAAAATTATATGCACAATAGAGAATGCTCGGTGTACGTATCAGGCGCTTCTTCTGAAACTAAGCTAATCAATCAAGGCGTGCCCCAGGGGTCTATTTTGGGCCTTTTATTATTTATTATTTATATTAACGATCTTGTCGATGCAATTAAATCAACTCACTGCGTGTTATACGCAGACGACACGACTATAACTGCAGCTGAGGACTCTCTAACTACTCTTACTTTACACTTGAATAACACACTTCTAGATATTACTAAATGGTGCTACGAGAACCAACTTATTATTAACCCAGCCAAAACCAAGTTTATGATATTTAGGTCCGCTCAAAGGCCATTGCCTTTTCATCAACCCTTAACCCTAGGCCCTCGCTTTATACCCACCTGTGATACTGTAATTTTTCTTGGTGTACATCTTGACTGCCATTTAAAGTTTAATCTCCACACTGATCACCTCAGAAAGAAAACTGCATTCGGAATTCGGGCTATAATAAAAGCTCGTGAAGTTTTTCATATAAACGTACTTATGTCTCTGTATTTCGCCTTCATTCATTCCCATATCATGTATGGTATCGCTGCTTGGGGAAACACGTATAACTGTCATCTATCACCCATTCAGAACATACAAAATCAGGCGATCCGCATTATCACTAATAGCTCACGATACTCCAGTGCAGGCCATCTACTCCAAGACAACAAAATCCTACCTGTTATTTTTTTATAGCATAGCCGTTCTTCTGTTTCAATTGCGCAATGCACTGCTACCGTTTGAGTTCATTGATTCAGTTTTCTTACAAAACAACAATGTAACCAGATTTGCAATGAACCTTAACTTTTTGCAACCCGCATCGCGCACAAATTATGGAAAAATGACCTCTGCCTTTGCGGCCATTACTTTTTGGAATAACATGCCTCTTTCTGTTAAAACGATGCCCACATTGTCATCATTCAAAAAGTCGCTTAAAAGTTTTCTGTTAAATTATTAGCTGCCTGTATATGGGCTTTTTGGGGGCTTTGCGTTTTTGGTTATGCCATTTAGATCATTGCATTTCGATTGACAATGTCCGCCACTGAACGAGATGTTTTTTTTTTCGTTCTTTCTTTTTTCTTTCCTTATTTGCCTTGCTTTTTGTTGCCTGATGTGTCACTTAGCCTATAATAATTACTTATCACTCTATATTGTATAATTGATTTCCATTCACTCGTTGCTTGTTAACTTGATCTGATTTATTGATTGTTATAATGCATCGAGGGTCCCGTTACAGTTTTTAACTTTGGGACCCTCGTCTGTATATTAATATTACTGTACTACTTTTTTGAAATGAAAAAATAAACTGAAACTGAATAAACTAAACTGAAACTGTAACAGCTAGATTACTGACATGCACAGTGTATGCTGTGCCCCATCTGTGAATAACTACCCAACGAGGACAAACGGGGGCACCACTAAAATGTGCGCGCATATACCTGCCTACACAAAATCAACCATTCTTTTCATGAGGTACTGACACAAATATTTTACTTCTTGCATTCTTTGTAACAACATGTAGCTAACAACCCACTTAGCAAGGTTTCAAACTTTTTACGCTCAAGCAGATGACAGTTCATTACTTGTAGACATATTTACCATACCCTATGACAGTTTGGTTTTGAAGAGCACCAAGAGAGGTGGAACCCAGAGGTGTTCTTGTGTAAACATAGCTGGCCACGTGAGTACAAATAAAGTGACACACTCAACATTTTCATCACTTATTCTACATGAACATTATGTCGACAACTGCGAGAGAGGTACCTCTTTTTATCATGTAATTAAATTCATCACTACTCTAAGCACACAGTGCTTGTCAGGTGGCCATTTAGTGGTGTAACATATAAATGCAATATACATAAAAAATTGTTTCAATAGTCCCATTGGATTTCTTCCAAACTGAAAATAGCATGTGGCAAATGAGTAGAATATTCTAAAGCTGCTATGACACTACCTATCATGGTTATCTGTTACAGAGAAAACAACTTTTTGGACTTGTCAGTCTATGTAAAATGCCCTCGCTGTTACACTCAATGCCATTAAACCTGTATTATAGGTACTCCTATGAACAAACTGGGCTCCCCCCCCCCCCCCCCCCCATCAATTGAAAGTAACACTTTCAACATGGTTCTTGTACACAATTGCATGCGGCTGTGTGTCAGCGGGGTGGCATACAACGTACACTGACGCACGTCGGCACTGGAATTATTTCGGAGCACTGCTCATGGTTACCCTGAATGACGGGTAGCAGTTACATCGAGCCACGCACCTGTGCGCCAGGGCGACAGGCGTGGCACCGTGGATGGCCTGAACGCCATGGCACATGCCCGTGAAGATATCCAGCAGCCGTCCCTCGGACATGTGCTCCCTCGACCGCGCTCGCATCGTCAGCTCGTCCTGGAGCGTTCCTCTCTGCACAGAGCGTGCGCAAGGTCAGAAGATGCGCACCTGCGCTGATTACACGCAACAGCTGCCTTATACGGCCGTTCTCGCGATCGCTAGCCACGCGGTTGTATATATTCTTATCGACGTAAGCGAGAATCGCGCAATATAAATTTCGAGGCAAGCCTGCACATACGTATACAACCCAGTGCTTAATTAGAGAATATCAGATGCCTCTTAGCAATCATAGCACGTCACAAACACACACAGGTTTAAAAACATTTAGTCCACACCCTCCCTCGACAGTACATAATTGTGGCTGCGCGGACTCACTCTGAAGTAGGGCAGCAAGATGAGCACTTCGCTGGAGAACGGTTTGGAGATGTCGTGGCACGGGACCAGGGCGGCGTCCACGCATCTGACCAGGTTGGGGTGATCGAACGACTTGTACAACTCGGCCTCGCGCATAGCGTCCCGCTCGGACTCTCTCGTGTGGCACGGGATGCGCTTGAGTGCGAATAGCCGCTGACTGGTAGCGTCGTACACCAAATCGACTACACTGAAGCCCCTGCGAAGGCCGCAGATATTATTACAGAGACCGGCTTGGGCAAGAAGTAAGCACGATACGAACCCTTCTCCCAATCTGCTCTTGACCACGTATCTCTTGCTGTTGATACACACAGCCTCTTTCGTGCACGTACAACCCATGTTGAAGAGGATGCTGAGACCGAGACTATTCATACTGGTGTTGCGAAGGCGTCGGTCCGTAATCGCGGGTGTGCCAGCATGATCGACCGTGGGCGCGGACCGGCATGCAGTGTTGAGGAGTCTAGGAAGCTTTCAAGATGACCACGTGGTTCCATCTTGGGCTAAAAGCCGCACTTCGAGCTGCCACTCACATTGCAGTTAACAAAGCAACTCCATACCACCGCCGGTGTGTCGTCAGCTGCTCTGCGCGGCGCGCCAGCTGAGCCGACGACATGACACACGCATGACAACACACGAGTTGTACAAGAGGTGACAGCCTTCGCTTCAGTTTCGCTTTCAATCAATTATCTCTAAAATTGTGTATATTGCGTGAAAACAATTGCGTACTGTATATTATGGTCAATAGACAATAATTTTTTATTAATTTTATATTTTTATGTGCATTTACACGTGGCATTCAACTGCTTCAACTACATCAATTAGTATCCAAAACTAGCCAATCTGAAACCAGTGCGTTTCGAGTTGTTGATTGCTGTGGGGGAAATCAAATTGACAGGTTATTCATTCTCGGCGATCATCTCAAACCCCAACCGGCTTATCAAAAATGGCAAATCCGAAGTACGCCGATCTTCCTGGGATTGTAAGTAAACTTACAGAATCTGCGTTGGTTTTAACAGTTTCTGTAAATAGTAGGAACGTTCAACTGCGACAGATGTTGTCCGGAGGAGATGGATTGTTAGATGCTTTAGTGTGGACAAGTGTTGCGCGATGTAAACCTTAAGGCGCTGTTCACTGTATCTTGCTTCTTGCCAGGCGTACGAGCAACCGGATATATACGAGACGGAAGATCTGCCGGAGTCCGATCAAGTGGTCTCGGACGTGGGCGTGGTGAGTGAAACGTTCTCCGGAGTCTCTCGTTTCTCCGTCATCATTCGTGAGTCTGCGATTTGCACTGATAGACCGAACTTGCCGGGTTTAAGCTACGTCGTAACGATTGTTCCTTCTTTTAAGATTTTCTCATGTTTACTGGAGCACACGTTGTTTACGTTGTAAATTCATGATGTCGAGTTTAGTTTGGCGTTCGTATCATTGCAGGACCAGTCTGACAGTGTGAACACGTTGTCAGTTTCGGTGACAGAAGCCTATGAGAAGTTCAAGGGTTGCACGGTGGACTCGTCGACCGTCGGTGAGTTTCTGTACTAAACGAACTCGAAGCGTGTCGCCCCTTGCTCCACCCGGAGATTTTAACCTGCAGACTTCCGCGGAAATCCGCGTAATAGAGCATAAGCACCTGAAAAAAAAAAAAAAAAAAAACGTTGCCGTTCTCCTGAACATTTGTTTCCCCTTTGGCTGCCCGGTCTTCTAAGCTGTGATCAGCTTTTCTAAGGATACTATGTGTTTGAGTTTGGAGCTGTGTTAATGAAGAAAAGAGCGGCCCATTTTGTCCCAGTCTATGGAGAGCTTTCAGTAGTTGTAGCCTGTAAGTAATACAAACCACATCAAATGATACATTGGTTGATTCATTCATATCAATATGGGCATGATTGAGTTGTGGGGTTAAACGTCCCAAAACCGTCATATGATTAAGAGAGACGCTGTAGTGGAGGGTTCTGGAAATTTCGACCACCTGGGGTTCTTTAACGTGCACATAAATCTGAGTACACGGGCCTACAACATTTCCGCCTTCATCGGAAATGCAGCCGCCACAGTCGGGATTTGATCCCGCAACCTTTGGGTCAGCAGCCGAGTGCATTAGCCACTAGACCACCGTGGCGGGGCAATATGGCCATGTCGTGCTGCTGCATGCGGTAGAGCAACTTTGTTGTAAGTGAAAGCTACGTGGTCACTATGAACATAGAGAATTCCAGTGGAGCATCTTTCGTAGCTGAATCATGACATTGCGAATTTAAAGCCTTTTAGTGAATTAATTTTATTGATCTAAAGATTTGTCCAAAAGTCGTCAAGGCATTGAAAACCGCGCATTCTGATAATTCTCCTTCTATACTGTCATTTTCTAAGATAGTATGTGTGCAATCCTCTGTGTATTTCTCCATTTACACATGAAAAGCTTCAGTTCATTTCTAAAGCATTTATTTTGTTATGTTGTTTAGCAGCCAGTGTTGTGTGTTAGTGATGTGTGGTCTTTGTTCAAAGTGGGAAAAAAGTGGCAGTACTTTGGAACTGTTTCCTGAAAGTTGGTATATTACTGAATTGAACTTTCACAGATTTCACAGAGGGCATCTCAAGACAACCAAAGAAGGGCTACCATGTCATCTCTGGTGAATGGGAGATGGTGAGTTTTTGCTTGACTGGTACATAATGTGCATAATCCCTTGGATGTAGTGCCCAGTCATCTGTACGGCCAGTGATGAGATATAACAAAACCTTGCATAATAAAATTGTTTCATTAACAGACTTGTAGCTAACCCATTTGACTGATATATATCAAACCAAGATGATAAAACAAAAGCAAGAGCATTAATGAAAAAAGTATATTCAAATTGTTCCACGTGTGATGACTTCTGATTGAACCTGCACTGCATGCTTGAATACTGCGTGTCGTGTTTTCGTAAAGTGAGTTACGAGGTAGAGAGCCGGTTGCTTGCCCTCAGCGTCGGTATGTTCCCATGTAACAGGTTAACTTCACTCATCATTTTCATTTCTCAAGTGGCTGGATATCTGTCTTTTTTAAATACTAAACATTCAAATTTTCTTTTACTCTTGATGTTTATAAATTGTTGAAGAGGTTTTGCAAGGAGACAGTGTCCTTTAAGATTTACAAAAACTCACTCATGATGTTTAAATTGTGTGTCTGTTCTGTAGCTGTACACCGTTCACGTTTCTGAAGGTGCAATAACTATCATGAATCTAACCAGCACCTTTTGTGTTCATACTACAAAATGGGCTGTTGATAATGTGAAAAAATTTCCCAAATCACTGAGGGTGAGGAGAGCATTTAGGGCTTGATTTCAGATAACTAGGAAGGAAATGATTTTATCAAATGCTTAAGGTATTATAGGAGGAAAATGTCACATTATGAGAGCCTATTGCTGTTTTGGTTTGCTCGAGTAAATAAGTTCATGAAAGGTGTCCGCATACAACCGTGTGCATGAAAAGGTGATTGAAAGCACCATATCTTTGCACATTGCCCGTGATGCAGTGGGCCGCAAGCATACTTGATTAGTAGTGGAATGTGGCAAAAAGAGGCCCTAGGTAATTAGGAATGAGTCCACTGGCAAGCAATCAAGTTCTATTTACATGCTTCTATAGTAATGACCGTCTTTAAAAAAATGTTTTAGGAAACATCTGAAGCTCATTTTGCCTAAGGCACTGCTGGGTTGAATCAGTTGTCATTTGCTTGAATCGCTATGTTTTGGCTGCTAGGAATTTTCAACTTTCGTTAGTCTTTTTTTTTTTTCCTTCATAAGAAGTAGGCAAGCACTGTAACCCACTCGATGACAGTTGTGATCCTGCTTGCTCCCTCCTTAGATGTTCTTTCTCTGCGTATGTTTTATAATAATAATAATGATGATGATGATGATGTCCAGGCTGGAGAGAAGGAGCCTGAAAACCTGCAACAGAAGCACCAACGACTTCAGTTTGAAGTTCGTGAGCTGCTTAACGAAGTACAATCCATCAAGGTGAGTATCTTTGTGCAATGTTCTATAAGTACTTTGCATGAACAGAGCAGCTTTCTGCCACAAGCTGTATAATATAGTGTCACTTTGTATTATCTTCCCACCCTACTTCCAGTCTGACACTAACATCAGCTGTCAAAGTTTTCAGTGATGAGTAAGAAAAAACAAACTCAAATATTCTGGTGCCACCTTAAGCTGGATACATCTTGGGGTGAAGGGTGTGAGGTCTCGAAATGGCGAGCAACACGCCACACTCTCGGAGTGAAAGGACACAGCAGACGCGGCCGGTACAAACCAAACAATACACACATTTATTCAGCTACTTTTGATCGACGATATCGCCCGCCGAATTATTATACATCAATTGTAATTAACCAATTAAGACATCGTTACACAATATTGCCATACACTCCAAAACATGACAAACACAATAACAGAACAAACACACAATAACATGACAAACACAATAACACACCCAAGGCGGCGTCGCAAACGCTTGAGTTACTACGAGGGCCCCCGATGCACAGCTCGCGGTGCCGAGCACCGAAGACCCACACTAGAGACAACCGTTCGTGGCAACCGCCACCTGCAGAAGAGAATCGCTCAACTCTCTAGCCCGCCACGAAGGCTTGCTTTTCGCCAGGGATCACCACCAGCGCTACCACTCTACCAACCATGATGATGATAGTGGTGATCAATGTGAACACAACGCCACCTCCCGCCCAGTAGTTGTAATCCGAAATGCAGCTTTCGGGCGAGACACATGCGCCACGCAGCGCGAACTTTACAAGGGGTGTCAGCACCCCCACAAGGGCAACTAATGGGACAACAAAAGGGCTTGGAGTGAGCCGAGTTTAGGGTAAAGGAACTTCTAAACTGGGTTGGATACAACTGAAAAAAGCAGGAGTGGCCCTGTCCAGATGACCAAAAAATTGAGGGACACTGCGTAAATTCCAGTGTGTTCGGCAAACGCCTGTACTCCTTGAGACGGGATCGGTCAGAATGGAACGCAATGCGAGCGTCTCCCATTTTGCATGATTGGACATGCTAGGCACAGAGACGCTACACAACCAAAGGACGAGCGTAAGGGCACGCCAACGGACCAGCATCCATTGCCTCTGACTTGTAAAGCTGTACTCGATTAGAGTAAAAGCTGCTTTGGCAGCTGTCGTCACTGTGGCTGATTTCCAAAGAGCGTGTTAACAAAGAGATGATTGGAAGCCTATGGCACCACTTTCATTGGTCATTCTTTTATGTCAGGTGCTACTGGATTGTTCTATAAGATTGCTGGCACGGCAGAGTAGGAAAGATTTCAACTTGTGAGTTTGAAAGTGACAGTTGCAAAATCCTTAGTGCTCATAAATATGGTACTGTTATTATTATTATTTGTATTATTATTATTATTTTCAGAGTAGGACAGGAACAAGAATCGTATGAAACAATGTATAGTGTGTCACATGTTTTTTTCCTTGCAGTACCTCATTCTTGTGCTGTTTCAGTTTAAGTACAAAGCCAGCTACCTGGGGCCTTCACACATTTAAATTTTATGCTCCGAGCGAATTTGTCATTTTCTACAGCCTGACTGGGTTCGCTTGTTGGTTGCCTTAATGGAGCAGTGACTATGCAGGAAAGTGTGCAGGAAGGAGACCAA